GCCATGCTGTCCACCCAGCTAAAAGCTTTAAAAATTTTGCGTTTTATCTAATGCAAATGTTTGCCTAACTTTAAGTTATGAACAATTGTATGCCAAATTGGATAACCTAGATAAAATTGATAGATTTCTAGAAACAAATCTAAACCTATAACCCATAACTAGCAAAGAGATTGAATCTGTAATTCAAAATCTGCTAACAGAATAAAGTGCAGTACCAGACAGCTTCACTCATGAATTCTACTAAACATTTGAAGAGAAATCAACACTAATCTTAACGCTTTTGAAAAATTGAAAAGAGGATACTTCCAAAAGAAAAGAGGACGCATGAATTCATTCTCTGAGGCCAGCATTATCCTGATGCCAAAGCCAGAAAACTATATATCAATATCTCCGATGATATTGAGGGATGGTAGAAATCCTCAACAGCACATGAAAAGGACTATACACTATGACTAACTAAATTATTTCTCAAATAACCAAAACAATCTTGAAGAAGAAAAATAAAGTTAGAGTCACACACTTCCTGACTTTAAAACTTACTAGAAGCAGGCATGGTAGTGCATAATTGTAGTCTCAGCCATTCGCGAGGCAGAGGATAGAAGATACCTTGAGCCCAGGAGTTCTACACAAGCCTGGGAAACATAGTGAAACCCCATCTCTAAAAATAAAATTACAACAAAGCAACCATAATGAAAATAGTGTGTTATTGGCATAAAAGATAGACACATAGGTCAATGAAATAGAATAGAAGAGTGGAAGAGAACCTTAAAATAGATAAACCCTCACGTATAGGGTCAAATGATTCTCTTTTTCATCCAGAATGAAGATCTTGCTCTGTTGCCCAGGTAGGACTCCAACTCCTGGACTCATGCTATCCTCCTTCTCAGCCTTGTAAGTAGCTGGAACTATAGAAACAAATCCTCATGCCTACCTAATCAAAATGATTCTTGACAAGGGTGCCCATAACATTCAATGAAGAAAGGACAATCTTTTCAACAGGTGGTGTTGGGAAATTTAGATATGCCCATGCAAAAGCATGAAACTGGACCCTCAGCTTACACCTACACAAAAATTAACTCAATAAGGACCAAAAACATAAACAGAGAGTTGCAGCTACAGGCCAGGCCTGGTGGCTTATGCCTGCAATCCCAGCACTTTGGGAGGCTGAGTCAGGTGGATAATGAGGGCAAGAGATTGAGACCATCCTGGCCAACATGGTGAAACTCTGTCTCTACTAAAAATACAAAAATTAGCTGGACGTGGTGGCCCACGCCTGCAGTTCCAGCTACTTGGGAGGCTGAGGCAGGAGAATCACTTGAACCTGGGAGGTGGAGGTTGCAGTGAGGCAAGATTGCACCACTGTACTACAGCCTGGGCAACAGAGTGAGGCTCCATATAAAAAAAAAAAAAAAAAAAAAAAAAAAAAGAAAGAGTTGAAGGAAACATAGGAAGAAATCTTCACAACATTGTATTTGATAATGATTTCTTGGATACTGAAAGCACAGCCAACAAATGTAAAAACAGATAAATTCAACTATATAAAAATTAAAAAGTTCTGTGCATCAGTGAACAAAATCAGCACGATGAAAAGGAAATCTTTGTTATGGGAGCAAATATCAGCAAATCATATATCTGGTAATGGGTTGCAATCCAAAATATGTTATCATTCATAATTAGATTAAATTATTTAAAGTAAAACCCACAATGAGATACCACCTCAAACCCAAGAAAACAGCTATTATAAAAAATAAAGCAAAACAAAACAGAAAATAACAAGTGTTGAAGAGGTTACGGAGGAATTAGAACCCTTGTGCACGGTTGGTGAGCATGTAAAATGGTATAATTACTATGAAAAATAGCACGCTGGTTTCTCAAAAACTTAACAGAATTAACATACGATCCAGCCATTCCACTTCTGGGTATATCGAATACAAAGGATTGAAAGTAGAGTCTTGCCAGGGTGCATGCACACCCATGTTCACAGCATTATTATTCACAACGGCTAAAAGGTGGACGCAATCCAAGAGTCCACTGCTGAATGATTATAGACACAAAAAGAGGCACGTACACACAGTGAAATATTAAATGGGCTTAAAAAGGGAAGAAATGTATGTACATCCTACAATATGAATGAATCCTAAAGATGCTAAATTAAATAAGCTGGTCACACAAAAACACTGTATGATTCCACTAATATGAGACACAAGGAGTACTCCGTTTCATAGAAACAAAGTAAAATGGTGGTTGCCAGGGGCTAGGGAGAGGGAGTAAGAGAGAACTTTTGTTTAATGGGTGTAGAGTTTCAGTGTTGCAAGAAGACAGAAATTCTAGACATTGGTTACACAATGATATGATTTTATTTAATATTACTGAACTGTACACTAAAAAATGATTAAGGCAGTAAATTTTGGGTTATATATTTCACCAAATTTTTTAAAAGTGTTCACTGCAAGAATTTACGAGTGTTCAGCACAGCTGCAGTACAGGATATCAATATATTAAAAATTATAACAATAATAGCAATAAAAATATTTTTAAAAGATGCTAGTTAAATAGAATAGATTTTCTTCTAGATTTTAATAGTATTTTTCATCACTGTAATTGTTTAAAGGTTTTGTAGATATGGAAAGAACAAAACCAAGATTGCTAACTTAACTTGTTACTGATTGTGGAACACACAGAAAAAAATTATTCCATTTGAATTATATCTGGTTAGATCTCAGCAGTATTAACTCACATCCCATAAGATGGTGAAATTTTGCCTACATAAAAGATAAAATCTTTGGCAAATAGGACATTTCAGAAAGTCAGTGCTTTGCTGACAAGATATCTTATTGACTTAATAGCTGAGTCATGATATCTCACAGCCAAGATTCAAGTTCCGGTCTTCCTAATCCAACTATGTTGCTGACTCATCACCTACATCCCAGTCAGGTCAGCTGAGGGCTTGGGTGTTGTCCTGCATAAAGACGGAGGCAGGGACTAGATGGCATCCCAGCCCCATCATTCTAGATACCAGGAGTTGAACTTCTGAGTAGACCTGCCATTGTGACAACCCGGTAACCAATGTCCAGACCACTCCCGCATTACTAAGCCCTTTGGAACAATCTGAACAGGAGAACAAATGTCATACCCAGGAGAGAAGGTGGCAGATCTTTCAGAGTGATGTAGCCCACACACCTCACTGAGCCTGTCTCAGAGTGTGTCTCCTATGAGGGTGGCCTGAGTCATAAGGAATAGCTATTTATAGACTGTAAATCAATGCTAATACCAGTAAGAGGATTTAAAAGTCATTAAACATCCATTGTGCATATAGCCTTTTGTTGAAAAACAGAGGTAAAGGATCATAAAACATCCAAGGCAGACCATCAAAGAATTTACTATTATCTCATTAGAGTGATATGCCACATGAAGGATAAAAAAACATGTGGAATTGAGCCACAGTGTCCTGGAAGGGCAGAGGCCATGACGTGCATTGCAGGGAGAAGCATAATCAAAATACAGAATACAATCCTGTTCTGCTTCAGAACATTTCTGAGAGTGGACGGCAAAGGCTTAAACCAAAGGGAGGACGTAAAGTCTTATTTCACTGCAGGAATTTGGACATTTACCCTTATACAGTGTCCAATCCTGAACAAGACTTAACTAATAATTTAGTGTTGATTCTGTACAAGGATGGAAGAGTGTTTTCTTGGATATCATAAAGGAACAGAAGCAAAGACACACTACAAGTGTTTGGAGCGACTATGTTGTCCGAGGAGGCTGGGTAGCTGTTATATTGATGCTCTGAGAAAGGGGGCACACACACACCTCTCTCCAAATATGTAAGCTCTGTACATGTGTTTATAAATACACATGTATCTCCACCATGTTTTGGTTAGGGTCACCATGTCCATAGTGACCTAGATATCATTCCCAAGCTCTGGGCATATCCAGAGTCTGTCAGGGGCTGGGAAGAAGAGGACTTGTCCCTCGTGTGATTTAATCTGGCTTTTCTTGGTAGTCATCTGTAGAAATCATTTAATTTGTGGACTACCTTGCAGTCATGGCTGTCTCAGTGACCACTGTGTCCTAGAATGAATAGCAACGTGTTTCATTAATATCCTAAAAATGTGTAAATTCAAAACACTCCATTCATTTAAATCCTGTGAACATATAGAAAGCTAGTGACCCCAGGGGAGAGAGAGGACAGGGGCTTCCAAAGTAGCAACATAAACACATTGACATTAAATATTAAGGACTCTTGTTCTTAAAAGGCACCTGTCCTCCTATGATCTGGGGCAGCGTCCCACCAGCCATTTGACCCCACTTGGAAGAGTAGACCTATAATGTCTCACAGCCATGTCTCTTTTCTTCCTCTTTCTCCAGTGCCCTCAAAGTGACCCCAGAAAAGTCCTAATTCTCACACTAATACAAAGAGCAGAGCTGCTGCTTCTTGTTTCTCTGATGAGCTGCTTCCGGGTTCACACCTCAATACTGACACATCAAGGTCCCCACCAGAAGAAAAGGGTTATTTAAAAGCAAACATCACCAAACAATCAGACTCACTCTCATCAGAAAAAAAGCTGTGCTTCATTTGTTAACCAAACATCAGTATCTTCACTCTGTATTCAGCAAAGTATGAATATTTCGCTTATTCAGAGCCTACAACATTTCAGTCTCTCTGTCAGGCACCCTTTCTCTTTTTTAGGTTACTTTATTGATTTTCACAACCAACTAATTCTTCTGTAACTAATCCTTTTTTATCTTCCAGCTTTATGGTTTAAAAAACAGAAATGATACAGGCTAAATTGTTCCAACAGTCCCGCCTCACAGGGCCTGGTCCTGGGCTGGTTCTACTTCCAGGGTTTTACTTGTGTAGATGTCTACACTGCACCCACAGCCACACAGTTTCGTGGTGCACAGAGAGAGAAATAAACAAGCATGGAAACCTCACGGATGAGTACTTCAACTTCAACCCAGGTTACACTGAGCATCAGGCACTTTTGGAAAGACAGAAGTGAGATAGGCCTAAGTTCCAAGACTGAGAACAGAGAGGCTCTCAAGGCAAGCAGCCTTCGAGTAAATGAGGTGGGTGATGGTAGGAGTTATCCTGAGACCCCATTTCAAGTAGGCACTTTCCTACCTGGGAGTGGCTGCCTTGAGCCCGGGGAGAGAGTCACCACCTGTCACAGGACCCACGTGCTGTCAGGAGGCAGGTCCTCTCATGCCCAGGCCCTGTCTCACAGCTGAAGCACAGCCCAGGCCAGGATAAAAGGACTCCGGACCAGAGCACCCCATCCACACACCTCCTGAGGTGCTGAAGAGCCCTGTGCTACGTGTGACTCCGGTAAGAACAGGAGCAGGGATGCTGAGAACAGGGAAGGAGGGGAGGCGGGGAAGGGTCTCGGGGCTACAGCCATGTTGTCAGAGGTGGAGAGTTTAGAAAAGACTGAAAGGGTAGGCTGCAAAAAGGGGTCTGAGCACTAACTGGGAACGGGAAGGAGAAGAAGAAAAGAGCTGGCTGGCTGTGCCATGTGCCTTTGAACTCTAGAGGAAACACATTGCTCTGGGATGAGGTGGGCCTTCCAAGATGGGAGCTTGAAACACAGAGACCTGCTCCACTCTGGCCGGCCACAGGAGGGAAGCCCACCTTGGAAGACACAACCCTGTCTCTGCCTGCAAGGGAAGAACTAGAGCCATGGACATGGGACTAAAGGCTCTTTCGGGCTTATGAACCCCAAAGTTTTATGGATCTGAGACTTGTTCACGAACTTCCCGGGTTGGTTAAGACACACCAAGCCTGAGAGCCACCATGTCAGCCATCAGCCTGAGCAGGTGGTGAGCTGAGGAAGTCTGAGCTCCAACCTGAGATCAGGCGGTCAGCGTTCCAGTACTCGCTGTGCAGCAGTTGATGAATTTATCTGTCTCTGTTGAAGTGAGTTTACTGACCTAGTAGTCTCCCAGATCCTGTGCAATGCCGACCTTCCAAAGTAAAATTGTCTTGCAAGTTATGACAAGAGAGAATGACTGCTTCTTTCCTTTTAGAAATAATTTTCCCTTAAATGATTTGTAATTAGACAATTTCCAGCTGAAGACATATTTGTAATACTTTCCTTCTCCACTGACAACACATTAGAATCTTAGATGCATTTTGCAATATTGTTTAGTCTTAGTTTACAATTGTCTGACATTCAAAGATGTCCTAAGCTTGAAAAAGATGATATGAGAGTTTGAGGAAGTTATTGGAAGTAAAACTACTGAAGATTATGTTTTTATACTTGAGTGATGCTAAGAGTGTCACAGGGACAGAGGTGGCCTCTACTTGGGTCTGATTTTCTGTCTGATTCTCCCACAGCTCCTGAACACCCACCTCCAAGATGTCCTGCCAGCAGAGCCAACAGCAGTGCCAGCCTCCTCCCAAGTGCCCCGCACCTAAGTGCCCCCCAAAGTGCCCCCCTAAGTGCCCTCCAGTGTCTTCCTGCTGCAGTGTCAGCTCTGGGGGCTGCTGTGGCTCCAGCTCTGGGGGCTGCTGCAGTTCCGGGGGAGGTGGCTGCTGCCTGAGCCACCACAGGCGCCGCAGGTCCCACCGCCACAGACCCCAGAGCTCTGACTGCTGCAGCCAGCCCTCGGGGGGCTCCAGCTGCTGTGGAGGGGGCTCCAGCTGCTGTGGGGCGGGCAGCGGCCAGCACTCTGGAGGCTGCTGCTGAAGCGAACCTTGACTTCCTCTTTCTTCTGAGCCTGCCTAAGGGCTGAGAGTTTCCAGCAGAAGCTTGAAGTCTTGCCTGGAGTATCCCTCTGGTCTGATATCAGGAAGCCCAAAATCTTTCTCCTTAATGGCATTTAGAGACTTCCTTCTGCATATCCATGGCTGCCCTGGGAACTCCGAAGCACACACCTAGTTCCTCCGCAGCTCATGCTGCTGTATTCTGCTGCCTGAACTGAAGAAATAAAATCCAGAATCTGCTCCCCAACTTGGTACCAGCCTGCTTGGTTTTTCTGTTTGTGTCTCCTTGTTCTGTTCTCCTGTGTCTGCTGGTGGCTGCTGAGGCCTCAGTGGACAGAGGACTGGGAAAGGGTCAGGAGGAAAAAGCTTGCATTTTTGTGTTTTGTGTTTTTTCTTCTTTCTGCGTTTTCATTTTAAAGCAAGGGACTGAAGGAGCATTGGGAAGCATTGTTCTTTCAACTTCTGGCTCCCTTCATGTATGTAACTGTGTCCCCCAACCATGGCCAGGAAGCCAACTTCATTCTCCTTCCCACTGTCACCACTTCACTCTTGTGTTCCTAGTTCCCCATTCCTTCCACCAACAAGCTCCCTGGACTCCTCCTTCAGATTATATGTACATGTAGTAGACATATGAATAAAAATGTATATATAGGTGTATATATACACACACATATTTACATATGCACACATTATATGAAATAAATGTTATATTTTAAATTTAAATCACATATTGATGTATAATTTTCACAGAATAAAATTCCTTTGAAAATATACAATTCAATTAGTTTTGCTAAATGTATACACTCTTGTAAACATGATTGCAAGCAACACTCTAAAAATGTAGTTGATTATTGATTAATTAGTATTTGCAGAAGGTTTAAAAATAGGCTATGTGTTTATGATTTATTTCTGGATTTTGTGTTTTGTTTCATTGGTCTATATGTTTGTTTTTATGCCAGTGCCATGCTGTTTTTGTTACTATAACTTTGTAGTATAATTTGAAATCAGGTAGCCTGATGCCTCCAAATTTATTCTTTTTTGCTCAGGAGTACTCTCATTATTTGGAGTCTTCTGTAGGTCCATAAAATATTTAAGCCTTTCTTTTTCTATTTCTTTGAAGAATGTTGTATTAGTCAGCATTCTGCAGAGGGACAGAACTAATAGGATATATGTATCATGAAAGGGAGTTTATTAGGGAGAATTGAGTCACGTGGAATTTTCACAAAGATTACATTGCATCTGTAGGTTGCTTTGACTACTGTAGTCATTTTAACAATATTAATATGCCAATTTATGAGCCTGGGACATCTTTCCATTTGTTTGTGTCCTCTTCGATTTCTTTCAACAATGCTTTTAGTTTTCATTGTAGTTCTTTCACATCTTTGGTTAAATTTATTTCTGGCTATTTTATTTTTTGCAGCTATCATAAATGAGATTGTTTTCTTGATTTCTTTTTCAGATTGATTCCTGTAAGTGTATAGAAACACGACTGATTTTTGTATGTTGATTTGGTATCCTGCCACTTTGCCAAATTTATCAGTTCTAAGAGTTTCTTGGTGGAGTCTTTAGTTTTTCTAAATATAATAAGTTATCTGCAGAAAAGATAATTTGACCTCTTCCTTTCAAATCTATATGCCCTTTATTTCTTTTTCTTGGCCAATTACTCTGGCTAGGACTTCCAGTCTATGTTGAATTAAAGTGGTGAAAGTGGATATCCTTATCTTCTTTCATACTTAATAGAAAGTACATTTTTTCTTCATTCAGGATGATATTAGGTGTGAGTTTTATCATGTTGATGTATGTTCCTTCTATATGCAATGTCTTGAAGGTTTTTAACCATGAAGATATGTGGAATTTTATTGAATGCTTTTTTCAGCATCTATTGACAAAACTTTACCTAGATTAAGGAAGAAAAGCCCCAGATAAATAAAATCAGATGAAAGATGAAACATAATAATTTATATCACAGAAATATAAAGGATAATTAGAGACCGTTATGAACAACTGTGCACCAACAAACTGGAAAACCTAGAAAAATACAGATAAAATTACTGGACAACCTTCCAAGGTTGAACCATAAAGAAATAGAACAGGCCAATAATAAGTAATGAGATTAAAGTAGTAATAAAAAGTTTCCCATCAAGAAAAAGCCCCAGACCTGATAGATTTTTTGCTGAATTCTACCAAACATTAAAAGAACTAATTCTGATTCTACTCAAACTATTTCAAAACACTGAAGAAGACCAAATACTTCTACAAGGCCAGAATCACCCTGATATCAAAAACAGACAAAATAGAAAAAGAAAACTACAGGCCAATATCTCTGATGAACATAGATGCAAAAAGCTTCAACAAAATACTAGCAAACAGAATTCAACACTACCCTAAAAAGGCTATTCACCATGATAAAGTGGGATTCACCCCAGAAATACAAGAATGTTTCAACATATGGAAATAAGTTAACATGATGCATCCACAGCAACAGAATCAAGGATTGTCTTCTTTTTCAAGGCTGCATACTATTCCTTCTGCTATATAGTATATATATTCAGAATTTTAAAAATTCATTCATCCACTGACAGACATTTTAGGTTGTTTTCAGATCTTGGTTATTGCAAATAATGCTGAAGGAAGACTAGGAGTACAGGCATTTCTTGAAAATACCAATTTTATTTCCAGAAGTGGAATTAGTAGGTCATGAGGTAGTTCTATTTTCTATATTTTTTGGAAATTCCATATGGTTTTACATAATGGCTGTACCAATTTATATTTCCAACAAGAGCGTACAAGGATTCCCATTTTGCCACATCCTTGCCAACACTTGTTATGTTTCCTCCTTCTGATAATAGCCATTTTAACAAGCATGAAGTGATATCTCATTGTGGCTCTGATTTGTGTTTTCCTGATGATTGGTGAGATTGAGCACCTTTTTCTGTATACCTGTTGGACATTTGTGTGTCTTTTGAGAAATAGCTATTCAGTCTTTAGTTCATTTTTAAATTGGGTTGTTTAGTTTTTGCCATGCAGTTGTATGAGTTCCTTCATGGGCAATTATTAAGAGTTTGTCAAGATGAGAAAGCAAAAAAAGATCAGCAGTTTCCTTGGTGTTGGCTCTGATGCACAGAGATAAAAATATAACTCAGCTTAAACTATTTTATTTCCAGTTAGCTCTCAGTAATGTTTTCTTCCATCCCATGTTAGGATAAAGTATTGATGATGTAAAAGATAAATGCCTTGACCCTCAGAAAGTCAGTGCTTTGCTGATCAGCATGTCTGTATTGACCTGATAGCTAGTCTATGATTTTGCAAAGCCAAGACTTGAATTCCAGTCTTCCTGATACAACTATGTTGTTGACTCATCACCTACATCCTAGACCGGTCAGTTGAGGGCTTGGGTGTTGCCCTGCATGAAGGCAGAGGCATGTACCAGATAGAAACCCAGCCCCATCATCCTAGATATCAGGAGTTGAGCTTTTGAGTAGACCTGCCATTGTGACAACCTAGGAACTAACGTCCTGACCACTCCTTCATTTCTAAGCCCTTTGGAACAATCTGAGCAGGAGAACAAATATCATACCCAGGGGAAAAGGTGGCAGATCTCTCAAGGTGATGTGGCCCACACA